TTGGCCAAGCTGGTCTCGAACTCCTGGCCTCAAGTGATCCACCTGCCTCGGCCTCCCAAAGTGTTGGGATTAGAGGAGTGAGCCTGGCTAAAATAATTTATATTACATTAGAAAGCATTACTATATTAAAATCATTTCCTGGGCCAGGCCTGGTGGCTCACACCTGTAATCCCAGCACTTTGGGATTACAGGAGAGTCACTTGAACCTGGGAGGTGGGGTTGCAGTGAGCCAAGATGGCGCCACTACATTTCAGCCCGGGCCACAGTCCCATACGGTCTCAAAAAAAAAAAAAAAAAAAAATAGGGCTGGTCACGGTGGCTCACGCCTGTAATCCCAGCACTTTGGGAGGCTGAAGTGGGAGGATCACTTGAGGTCAGGAGTTCGAGACCAGCCTGGCCAACATGGTGAAACCCCGTCTTTACTAAAAATACAAAAATTAGCCAGCCGTGGTGGCATGCGCCTGTAATCCCAGGTACTCGGGAGGCTGAGGCAGGGGAATCTCTTGAACCTGGGAGGCGGAGGTTGCAGTGAGCTGAGATCACACCACTGCGCTCCAGCCTGGGCGACAGAGCAAGACTCTGTCTCACAAAAAAACAGCAATGCAAGACCCTCTGCCAATGTCCCCATGCCCTTCCTGGGGTTGGGAGGAGAGCAGAGGAGGGGCGGGAGCTCCGAATGGGAAAAGGGGGCTGAGGGAGGGAGAGAGCTTGGTAAAAGGATCAGGGAGGAGTTGCGGGTCCCCAGTTTGGATTGGGGTCAGCCCCAAACCCTGCTGCTGATGCCCACTGTCCAGCCAGCACCCCCAGCTCTGAGACCCTCAGAATAGGCAGATAGGCCATCGGAGGGGACCCAGGGCTCCTCGGGGATGCGCGGGAGGGGCGCTCCTTCCCGTTCCTACTGCAGCCTGGAGCCCTGCGTCAGCTGGGGCTGGAGGGATAGCGACCTGGGCCGGGTGCTGAGGCGAGGCTGGAGGCGCCGGATGACGGCGCGGCGGAACAGGATGTACACCCAGGGGTCCAGGATCTGGTTCCAGGTGGCCACTCGCAGGTAGATGAGCAGCTCCTGCTCCGTGGCGCGGGACAGCTGCCCCGCAGGGCTCATGGCAGGCGGGCTCCGCAGCACCGTTTGGGCGATGAAGACCTGCAGAGGGCAAAGCTGTCAGTCAGGACCCAGCCTGCAGCCCCGCCGGCCCGTTCCTGCCCAGCACCTCCTATTTCCTGAGTTCCAAGGTGCACTCTGTTTTTTTTTTTTTTCTTTTTTTTTTTAAGACGGGGTTTCACCATGTTGGTCGGGCTGGTCTTGAACTCTCAACCTCAGGTGATCCGCCCACCTTGGTCTCCAAAGTGCTTGGATTACAGGCGTGAGCCACCACACCCAAGCTTTTTAATTTAATTTAATTTTTAGACAGAGTCTGGCTCTGTTGCCCAGGCTGGAGTGCAGTGGTGTGATCCCAGCTCACTGTAACCTCTGCCTCCCAGGTCCAAGCAATTCTCCTGCCTCAGCCTCCTGGGTAGCTGGGACTCCAGTTGCTTGCCAGCACACCTGGCTAATGTTTGTATTTTTAGTAGAGACAGGGTTTCACCACGTTGGCCAGGCTGGTCTTGAACTCCTGACCTCAAGTGATCTGCCCACCTCAGCCTTCCAGAGTGCTGGGATTACAGGCATGAGCCACCGTGCCTGACCGGTGTGTACTCTGTTACAGCATTGCTGGGTGACCTCAGGCAAGTTGCCTAACCTCTCTGAACTCCTTTTGATGGGACCATAAATTAGCACAGTCTTAGCCAGGCAGTGGGTCGCAGCTGTAATCCCAGGTCAATGCAGGTCAATGGGGAGGATCACTTGAGCCCCGGAGTTCAAGACCAGCTTGGGCAATATAGATCCCATGCCTACAAAAGGTAGAAATAAATTAAAAAGTTACCCGGGCATGGTGACACTCCAGCCTGGGTGACAGAGAAAGATCCTGTCTCAAAATAAATAAATAACATTTTCATTTTTATTTTATTTACTTTTTTTTTTTTTTTT